TGAGTCCAGCAAAGAGCTACAAAAAGATCTCTCAGAAATGAGAGAATCTGACAAAAAGAGAGGCTGAGAAAGATGGAACTGTTCAGCCTGAAAAGATGTCTTGGGGGGATCTTATCAAGTGTATCAATATCTGGCAGGAGGGAATGAAGAAGACAGAGTCAGACCCTTCTCAGCGGTGCTGTGCAATATTCTCAGTAACAAAAACTGGTCAGGTAAGCTCCCCAGGGAGTAAATGTCAGAATGGCTAAAATTAAAAAGTTGCTGCCCTTTGCTCAGTCCGTATACTAATATTCATGCCAAGCTATGAAGAAGCTCATGCTTTTAGTCAAAACTACAGTGCATCTGGCAAGCCAGGTTAACCCCTTCATGCTCAGCTGGCCATTTACTTCAGGAAATTTCCCGCAGAGTCTACAACACCTGTTGAGTCAAAAGGAGGACAATGAAGATGGTGCAGGGCCTTGAGGGGAAGCCGTATGAGGAGTGGCTGAGGTCACTTGGTCTGTTCAGCCTGGAGGAGACTGCGGGGAGACCTCACTGCAGTTACAACTTCCTTGTGAGGGGAAGAGGAAGGGCAGGATCTGATCTCTTCTCTGTGGTAACCAGTGCCAGGACCTGAGGGAATGGCCTGAAGTTGTGTCAGGGGAGGTTTAGGCTGGATATTAGAGAGGTTCTTCAGCCAGAGGGTGGCTGGGTGCTGGAACAGGCTCCCCAGGGAAGCAGTCACAGCACCGAGCCTGACAGAGTTCAAGAAGGGTTTGGACAATACTCTCGGGTACATGGTAGGACTCTTGGGGATGGTCCTGTGCAAGGCCAGGAGTTGGACTGGACGATCCTTGTGGGTCCCTTCCAACTCAGCATATTCTGTGATTCTGTGATTTCATGAACCCCTAGAGCTAATCATTGGTGGTTTTAGGGGAACATGAAAATTTTCAGCCATATGAAAAAAAAAGCAGTTAGCTTCCTCTTCAGTGTTTAAATTTTTAAGATTACTTTTGTAAAAAAAGAGATAGAAAGTTATTGTAAAAGAAACATACAAATTGAAGATGTTTATAAAGGTCCCCAGAATATACAAGATCGGTGACACAAAAACAGTTCAGTGCCAAAACTTGGTTATGTTAGGGTCAGAAAATAACTGTTGTAAAAACCTACAGAATCCATTCTCATAGTCTACTCACCTAGGAAAAAAACAATAATATTTCTGAATATTAATTTCTTGGATTATATTGGAGATACCAATCTTCAGTGTCCAGACAGTGATGACAAAATTATCCACATCAGAAGTCTTGCACTTGAAATAAACACATTTGATCTGTGTTTCTTCAGAAAATCTTAACTGAATAAACCACATTAACTGCTATCAGTTTGGATTGGACAGAGACATTCAGAGATGAACACTGAAGTGAACTGGGAAACCTTATAAATGCCTTTGACATTTACGTGCTGCTTGAATCTATTTAAATAACCACGTCTGTCACTTATCCTTCTTAGGAGTTTCCATGTATCACAAGGGCTCAGGAATGGTCTACTACTAAGAACTACTCCATAAATAGTTCAATTTCTGTAGTAACTACGAACGTCAAAGGCAAATGACATCATATGCATTAAAACCACAAAGCACAAATATTTCTGATATTTTCTAAAATTAAACCATTTGAAAAATAAGCACCCTGGTCATCATGTTTTTAAATCAAACAATCTCATCATGTAAAAGAATCAAATCCAAGTGCATACTATTTTTGCACTTAAAAGTGCAGTGAAAATGACCGTGCAAGATTAGTTTCCAATATTTAACCTCCAGGCACATAACGGAACCTACATTAAAAAGTATTTTGATAAGTAGTGATTTCATTAAAATTTCTGACATCAGCAAAATCATGTTTTAAAGTGCCAGAAACATGACATTATTTTTTGGTATAGTTTCTTAGAATAAACTTAAATACCAGTGTACTTAGCTTTACTAAGGTGTCTAATAGTGTGGAAAATAAGGAGAGTAAAGGAGATAGAACAGAAAGCGAACGTCATATTTGCGCACAGAAACTTTAAAGTTCATTACAATCCTAGTGCTTCAAAATGTTTAAATGCCCTAATTTACACAAGTCATTAAAATACTATTATAAGAAAAACAAAAAGTCATCAATAAATAGGAAAATGCAATGTATTTTCCTAACTCTAAAACGTGGGATTCCATAAATATAGGGCACATTTATGTATCAATCTACATTTTAATTTCTATGAAATCATTTCAACTTTTGTTATTCATGGTTAATCAATATGAACATAGAGTTCATGATGAAACATAACATGACTAATATACCACTTACTGAAAAAAAGCCAACTCACCTGTCTTCCAAACATAAACTATTCCATAAAGAACTTCTATTGGTTTCTGATACTTCTTTCCATGTCATTTCACACTTACAGAGTAAGAGTGCAATTTTAATAGTGAACATATATTAAGGAAAAAACAAAAAGAATTAAAATATGATCTTTATTTGTTTTCTCAAAGTACAAATAGTGTAATTTATCATTTGCAAAAACAGATGGGCATAAGGGAGATTTTGTGGAACCATGATAAGCATTTTAGGTGATCTTGCACATAGAAAAAAATTATAATGATAATAAAATTGTTAGTTCACAAAAATGTAAACCCACCAATCTCCCTGCCCCCAAAGAAAATGGTATAACCTGAATCAGGTTGCCTGTCTTTACTTATTCTCTCTCTGGAGAGTGACAGAACACTCTATTTCATTGGATTAATGTGATGACAATATAAAGAATTAATGCTTGTAAAATTGGTTTCTCACATATGATAGAGATGAATGTGTAAATATTACATAGAAGACAATTTTCTAGAATGTTTTAGCTGGGCATGAGACAGATCCTCTATAAACCCTTCCTACTTCAAAGAAACTACCATGTAGAATGTTCCAAAGTCAGTAAACAAACATGACCAAACAAATAATGCAAAAGAATGTTACTATTCCTTCACATGATTTCATTGAAACACACTCTTTTTTTAAAGCACATCATTAAAAGTAATGAGCTAGAAATTAGGAAGATGACAAGAAATAATTTAACTTGATGTGCAATTACATATAAAATTCTTTTCAAGCCTCTATTGCTTTTATACATATTGATCAAATCATGAAACTGGTAGAAAGACTAAGATATATGTGCATTTCTCCTACTGTTTTCTTGTGAACCCTACGTGTGTACAATGGTGAGAACATTCTGCTGTGCTGCCACAGTTTAGTATCACCAGGTCACCTGCGAAGATGCTGTAAACTCACACACCCACCAGTGCCCTATGCTGTCCTCCAGGCTGTTGGGGAGAAACAACCCAGTCAGGGAAAAGGATCCAGGAAAACATATATTTATAATGTGCTGATTTTCATATGCATTTTTAACTCTGTATGGCAACTGCAGTCCAGCAAAAACTAGTGTCATACCTGGCATTTCATACCATGGTCAGAGGGAAAAGCAGTGTAGTGCGTTAGCTGCCATCACACACCGATCGGTGACCTGTTCTTTGTGCACAAGAGTATCTGTGTTAGCTGCCCATATTGATTCTTTTAGATTTGTTGATAAGAATGAATGTCGACACACTGCGGCTTCTGGAAGACAGATGAAGTTGTACTTTGGCAATTATTCTTTATAAATTAAGAATTGTCAAAGGGTATATGTTTCCTTTTTCTTACATCAAGAATCCCTTTCTGCTTCTAAGCAATGTGGATGCCACAAACAGAAATAAGATTAGTTGTATTGCAACCTCCCTACTGTGCTGAAATTCAGATCTGTTTCAATGAAAACAGATGATTTGCTGTCATAGTTGGCACTCAGCTTAAACTCAGCCTTGTCACTCACGTAGCCTTGGGGTGTTTGCTCCTAAAATTCAATAGTTTCCATCATTCCTTTTCCATTCATGTGACTAATGTTGAACTTCTAATGGTAGGATGTATAACCATATATATTTAAGAGCAGAGTCAAGATTCTCTCTTTGTCAAATATCTGCCAGTTATTATCATTTTTCTGCTATTTAACACAGCAGAGATTTCAATTTTTTTCTGAAGAAGGCATAAAGCAGTATAGGTATGAAGAAGGCATGAAGAAGTATAACTGGATAGTTATAGAATAAAAAATTTTACTGTCTCCTCAACTCAGAATTTAATCCATTTTCTGATGTATTTTTTCTTTTAGCTATCTATTTTAGAAACAAAACATATAAAAAAGTCATGTCTGGCTGTGGTGAGTCAAATTCTAACTCTTTTATTCCATCTTCACCTAGCACGTGTGCACCCTCAGACTTCTGTAGATTCTTTAGTTTTGTGAGGTCTTTGTGAGGATTTCACCCATTTTATGCATGTAAGCTTAATATTTATTCACTTTCAGTAATCCAATTTCTATCATTGACTCCCTATTTCAAGTAAAACCAAATTTCGCAATTTAAATTTCTCCACGACATTCTGTTTTCCTGCCCTTAAGTAACTCCCACAAATACACGTGTGTACATCTGTGCACGTGTCAAATGTGGGATGAGCATCTAGCTGAAATTCCTCATACTAACTTTTAATGGGAACTTTTGTGTGCATGGTACAATATATATACTGTGAATGAAGGAGATAAAATACAGGTATACATATCTACAGATCAGACAAATTTATAAGGTCTAAGAATTAATTGGTTAGTTTAAAATGCTAAAATGATTCCCTGAGGATTTATGAGCTAAGAATGCTCAAGGGTTTAGTGTCCTGACATCTCTTTAATTAGCAGTCTCCAAGATCTCACACTAAGAAGATGCTAAGCCAGTGCCTTCTGTCATATCTCAAGAGTTTCAGAAGGCTTGAAAGCCACAGAGGAAGGTGAATGTATTATGTCTGTGAGCTATACAATATGTACAAAGTACATATTTCTTACTAGTAACAAGTTAGGACTTCTTGCTACCACTCCTGCTTTGATGGTGATGAATTTCTAAAAGAAATCCCAAGAAAAATCCAGCAAAAATGGGTGAGGTAAATAAAGATGCCGTTGAAAAATACTTGGAGAACAATCCTCAGTTTGCCAAGGAGTATTTTGACCGAAAAATGAGAGCAGAAGTACTGGGAAGTATCTTTAAAGTGAGCCCTGGAGATGTGAAGGAGGGAGTCAGCTTCAAAGACATGTCTCGTCTGGAGGAATGTAACATACTTTTTGAGTTGATTACAGAAATCCAAGATGAAGCAGGTGTTATGGAAAAGATAGTGCACAAGGCCCTGCAGAGGCTGGCACAGCTGCTGGCAGCTGATCGGTGTAGTATGTTTCTTTGTCGTTCCCGAAATGGTATTCCAGAGGTAGCCAGCAGGCTTTTGGATGTCACTCCAACTTCCAAATATGAGGACAATTTGGTAAAACCAGAAGATGAGACTGTTTTTCCTCTGGACACCGGGATAGTGGGATGGGTTGCTCATACGAAGAAGTTTTTTAATGTACCTGATGTGACAAAGGTAAGTGACTTCTCTTGGGGAATGGGTTTCTGTGCATTTGCTCACTCAGCTTCCTACCCAGGTAAAAAGGCATTCTTCAGAAACATCTCAGAGACACAAATCCAGACCAATAACATGAGAAAAGCATCAGCAGATTGCTTAAAATCCAGTAGAACCACATCATGTAGCCTAGTGAGGTATTTCCAGTATCCTAACAGTTGTTGTAATGTCAATGACTATAATAAGGGAGAAGAATATTAGATTAATAGAGATCAGTATTTGTGTTTCTGTTGAACAACGCAGGCTTCTGTTTTCCAGTATGGGCTTGCAAGTGGGTTTATCATTCTGTGCTGCCATACATCTATCTCTGAATATATTTAATTTGCGGCTTTTGTAATGAAGATACATCCCTATAAGTAGATGACTGAGGACACATAAGATGAGGCAAATATATATGTTCAGGTTCAAGTCTGTGTTTGATTTTAAATGGGTCCAATTTTGAGTAGGTCTGGTTTCAGGGCTTTTGTTCAGAACCATCTATAGAAGAAGATTAATGAGTCTGACCTGTTCTGATATTTTTGAAGTTCATGTTAAATTTCCACAGAATCACCTTCTGCACTTAAGGTGATGATAAGGGTTATTATAAATGTTAATTAAAATGATGAGTGACCTAACAAAAATTAAACATGCATGAATGAGAACTGCTTTAGAAACTACTCTGAAATACATGGGGAAACATAAATATGCTTTGATTGTTGAAGATTTCTTTTAAAATAGTTAACCTCATATTATCAAATGGTGACATTTTAGTCTTATGTGGAAAAGCTGAGCATAATCAAATGGTGCTAAGATAATTCTCAAGATGACAGTCTGGATTCTCAGTATTTCCTATCCAGTCAACTAAAAATTCCAGGCCGTTTCAGAGATAGAAATTACCTCAGTGTCCTAAGCTCAATGTAAATAATAAATATATTTGCACACTACCGTTATCTATGCTTTCCAAGAGGTAAACAAAAAATTAATACATTTTAAAATGCTTACAGTTACAAAGGGCTATTTTCAAAGCTCAGAAACAAATTAAAATATACATATATATGTGAAAAGAGCATTCCAATATATAGTAAACTACCTCAGATGTAAATAGGAATCACAGGAGTAAACAGAATGACTGATTTGATAAAACAAATCAGTTGATTTTCAACTGACTTCTAATATGTTTTCTTCAATGACTGCTGTCCTGACAAGAAGAGTCTGACTTACTGCCTCTTACCACCACGTGGGGGGATTGGAGGATAATCCTTCTAAATTCATAAGACTGATTACATGAGAAAAGATCAGGAGGATCAAGAAAGATGTGCCTTTGGGCACACAGGGCTGCCCAAATATTTCTATGTTTGCAGTAGGATTTGTTCAAAATTTTATGGGAAATGTCACTTGAATATGCTCGCATAAGAGAAATTTTCTGTCCATCTAATCCTGCTAGGTAATTTGCACTCATAAATTAATTCATATCAGCTTGGTATCTTGTCCAGTTATTCTTCAGTCATTCTGAGGTAATCTTTACTTAGGCACCCATTTTACTCTTTTAGGATTACTGAGGCCTATACCATTAACCACACACTTAAAAATGCAATTAAATCATGGTCCCTTTAATCTACATTTGGTAACTAAATGTCATATAAATATTTACATTTTATAAATTAAGTACAAAACTCCCAGAGATTTCTCTGGGACCAAGGTTTGATGTTTAAAAACAACCCCAAAGACCTCAAAATTGTCACCATTCCATTCTATGTGTACAAAATGTTCCTGTCCAAGTCCACACTCCTCACTCAGGCAAAGGTCCCACTAATGTCACCAGAATCTTTATCTCCATAGGGAACCCAGAACTGCAGCTTGAGTTAGTAACATTTAAGGAATATAATTAGTCCATGGCAGCAGAAATAGGCAGCCACTGAAGCCTTTATCATGTTTTGAAAGGATTATTATTTTTCAGTTTGCTTCATACATGCTTTAGTCAAACTAGATTGTCTGCCACCCAAGTTCTGAATAAAAAATTACAAACAGAATTAAGCCAGAGAGGAATTTTGCCCCTACTGCCTTGTCAGAATACAAAATGCACAATGACTACTTCTAGATGGCTGTAGTACTTTAAAAATGTCATGTCTAACCACTTTCTACTGTTGACACAGTCCATATCCAAACAGCATAGTGTTTTTTAAGTCTTATGTACATGACAACATTGACAAACCCATGGTGTGACATTTTCATGCTTTAATCATCACACCTTTATAACAAAAGTAAATGTAATAAAAGATCAGAATAGCAATAAATCATTGGGGGAAAAATAAATGACTCCACTTTTAGTGCCTGGTAACCAGTTCTTTAGGGATCATCTCCTTCAACCTGGAAAGGTACCAATAAACGTGAGGAAGCTCCTCATCCTGACTAATGCTTCAGAAAAGAAAAGCAGAGGAAAAGATACAGACCTTCTGTAATTCAATTAGCAGGCAGAACAGTCTCTCCCCACAAGATTATGGACCTGTTGACTGTGAGAGCTAATAGTATTTAATCCAGGATTTAATAGTTGTGAGAAACAGAAGGCCAGGCAGGACCCTTATCCTAATAATTTGTCTCACATTACTCCCAGGGTCTAGCAGACTATGTGACTCGAATATTACAAAGGAAAATAATAGGCTGCATAAAATTTGGCATGCCCATTAATATTCTTTAAATAGTAACTGATAACACAGGAAACATTATAAAGGACAGTAAAATTACCTTTCATTTTTTAGTAAGGCATTATTTCCAAATAAAACTAAGAAACAGTTCAACAAGAAGTATGTCTTCCGGAGAATCAAAATCTCACATTCTCAGCTTGTAAGAACCAATAATAAATACTATATATATATATTTGCTTTAATCCATAATCTATTTAAATTATTACACTATTCCTTTCAATTCAGAGGTATTTGAAGACAAGGATTTAACCGAGGGTTGGAAACTCAAGAAAAAATATTCCTGGTTTTAGTAGAGTATAAAATTATAAAAATGGTGAAAGAAACACTTCAAAAGAAGTGAAGGTCTTTGGATTAGAACTATAAAGGAACTGAAATGTTCTGATGCTGAAATAACAAACCCTCATTTTTAGAGGTCCTGTACAAACCCCAGTGAAGTCAAGAAACAAGAGAACCTGGAGACATTCCAACTCAGATTAAGCAGCCAGAAGAGTGATCATTGTGTCACCCAATTTAAGCACCAGAAACCTACGATACAAACCAACGTAAATACATCTTCAAGTTGCAAGTACTTGTATCATACCCTTGCAAGCTGATCCAGCTTCAGACTGCAGCTTTACTTCTCTTTAATGCAAGGGTAGGAGAGACCTTAATTCCAGGTCTGTCTGAAGCGGCAGGAGTTTCAGACTGATGTGACTGTGCTGGGCCTCAGACTCCACGCTGAGCCTGAAATGAGGCAGCCTTTTACCTGGGAAGAATGTGCAGTGTGATTGTTAATTTCCACTCCTCTATTTTATCATCTTGATAATAAAAATCAGATTGTCAGAAATTCACACTCAACACAGAAAATATTAACTGGAAAAATGAAAACATGTTCCCATACTGTTATAAAGACAAAGGTTCAGTCAGTTTACCAGAAAATACTTTAACACAGAAACCAATTTCTAATAATCATGCATTTCAGAAGGAAACACCAAACGATTCTTCCCTTGATTTAGTGTTAAAAGAGGAAAACTCCCAAAATTGAAGAAAAAGTGCATGTTAAAAATTAAAAGGAAAAGCTGCCTTTTAGCCTAATTTTCTTGTTTTATGTGAAAACTTAAAGCAATACAATACAAATCCAATTTTAAAAAGTTGCAAAATAGCCACTACATACAGTAGGCATATCACTGACAAAACTGAAAAGTTCAACCCCCAAGTGCTGTTAAATATATATTAACTTCTACTTGATTCAGTTTCAGAACCCTAGTGATCTTGAAGATAACAAAGTCAATTTGTTCTGTAATGCTAGTAAGTTGCATCTCAAAATGCAATTTGCATCCCTGACAATACACAATTTTTGAAGTGTGGCCTAAGGAATGGCCAACTCATTTAACTAGTTTGGTTTGGTCATGAATCAGATTGATGACATTTTTGTAGGTAATGGTAGGTGTTTTTCATTTTCTATTCATTTTAAATTATGAAACAAAAACATTTGTGAGTTGAAATTAGACTAAGCTGAAGTATGAGATGAAGCAATACAGCACACCAGTACCATCTATTGAGTGGTTAAAATTTTGAGAAACCTGAGCTACTGGAAAGCAAACAAAACATCAGGAAGAGAAAAAATACTGCAGAGCTACCAGAAAGAAAACCAGAAACATGTAGAGATAATGCAAGGAAATATGTGCTAATGATGGGAGTATGACACCGGCTCCTCATGTCAGAGGTTCCTGCGGTTCCCATTGCAGTTGTGCTCCAGACCCACTCCTAGTCATCACACATCCAAAGCATGATATGTTTTGACCAGTCTAAGCTCATCTATCCAACACAAACTTCCCGCCCAGCAGAAGCAAAACAGTCATAAATGCAAGGGGTCACAGTAAGGCCTTCTTCCTCTGTGCTTTATAGGAGAAAGAGGTGGAGAAAAACAGGCATCTACTCTCTTGGCCCTGTCACCTCACCTGCAGTGTTAAATCTTATCATTTCCGTTCTGTTGGGTCACTTCAACCCCATGCAGCGCTACAGGTTTGGGAAACAGTGGCTGGAAGCTGCCCAGTGGAAAAGGATCTGGGGGTGTTGGTCAACACCAGGGAAACATGAGCCGGTGTGAGCCCAGGTGGCCAAGAAGGCCAAGAAGGACCATGGCATCCTGATCAGCAATAGTGTGCCCAGCAGGACCAGGGATCATTCCTCTGTAGTCAGCATTGGTGAGGCCACATCTCGAATCCCGTGTCCAGTTCTGGGCCCCTCACTACAAAAAACACATTGAGGTGCTGGAGCACATCCAGAGAAGGGCAACAAAGCTGGAGAAGGATCTGGACCACAAGTCTAATGAGGAGCAGCTGAGGAAGCCGGGGGTGTTTAGCCTGGAGAAAAGGAGGCTCAGGGAGAGCCTTTATCACTCTCTACAACTACCCGAAATATGACTGTAGTGAGGTGGGAGTCAGTCTCTTCTCCCAGCTAACAAGTGACAGGACAAGAAGAAAGGGCCTCAAGTTGTGCCAGGGGAAGTTTAGATTGGATATTAAAAAACATTTCTTCACTGAAAGGGTTGTGCTAGGCTGTGCTAGGCAGGTGCTGATGCTAGCTTAGTGCAAATCCAGGATGTGTTGCACATCTTAGGACATCTAAAGAACTGAACACTGTATAGTAAATGGCTTGGTATCTCAATTTTAAATGGAGCTAGCAGGAAATGCTTTCAGATGTACTACAGTTAAGGACTTAGCAGCAGATTGTTTTTTCCACCATTTCTTTTTTAAAGACTATTTTTTATAATTTGACTGAGAGCTGAAAGTCCAAAACATCACTCTAAAAGACAGTTTGATTCATAAGAGCAGGCTCAAGTAGACTCAGTGTGCACATTCATGTAGTCATGGGAATACCAAGATGTTCTTTGGGCTCTGATACTGCAGACCACATTTCTTCCTTATTTTTCTATGAACATGATTTCCTAGTCATTGTAAAAAGTAATTTTCTTGGAAAAAAAAAAAGGAGCTTATGTTCTCAAGTTGAAATATTTTAAAACATCTAAAATAAATTGAAATAAGTGGAAATAAAGGCTTCAAAACTTACAGTAATTATGTATAAAATATTCAATAACAAAAAGCCTAAATCTAAGCACAATTTTTTTGCTTGTATATGCAAGTCCATGTGAAACAGCAGGTTTTGTATTTGCAATGGGAATGCTGTCAGTGTGTTACAAGGTTTTTATATCTTTCTACATTGCACTGTTTAGGTACAGCTCAGGGTTGCTTGTGATTACTGAACTTTCTGAACAGAGACTTGCATTAAAATATTTCTATCCTCTGAAAAACTTGCATGACCAAGTTGCTGCTTCTGAAACACCACTGCTTGTACCTTCAGCCTGCAGTTGTTGAACAAAGCAAGACACAGCTGATTCAGCTCATTTGGTGTACACACATCCATTTTAAGCATTCATAAATACAGGGGTGTCTGTAAATTTTATTTATCCCTCACAGTAGTACACAGTGCCCTAAAACCAGAAACCTGGGCCTCACCATCGTGCTAGGTGTTGTCAGTGATGCAGAGGGACCACAAAATAGGGTTAAGTTATCTGTATGATTTACTTGATTTTCAGTGGCTAAAACAGAGATTCAGAATTTGTTACTGAAGCCCCAAAACACATCTAAGTCCAGAATGGTTATGTCAGTAGGTAGCACATCTCAGAGAAAACCAAGTATTTCCATGTAATATTTGTTTAGCAGGCTATTCGATTCTTACACCTGAAGAGACAGATTGGCATTTTCTGTCTGTTGAGTGAGATCCCCCCACACCTTTCTCTGAGAAAAACTGAACACAGCAAACCAGGGAGATATTGTTGGAAATAGAGAAAACATCCCCTTTTCGTGTGGATGATAAATTCAAAACTGGCTACATTTTCCAGGGACCCAAACACAACCTGATAACATTGAGTGCTATTTATAAGGATGACACAAGCTGTCCTTAAGAGAATCAACTCTCTGTAAGGGAGCCCAGGGTGTAAATATAGAAAAGAAATTTAAGAGTTACTTCCAGACGTTTAATTCCTTTCACCAAAACTCAGCTCTAGAAGGAAATATAAAAGGCAAATATAGAAGATGGACTATCTAAAGAGTATGGAGAACTGAAGAGAAAATAAAAACAACCAACCCTAATATTTTGAGCTCATAATAAAATTCAGGCTTCCTTCTCAGGGTTGTGTATGCTATAAATTCAAAATGTACTAGAAAAAGTTGCTAGACCAAGGAGGGGGAAAGGAAATGAAGAGGAAAGATCTAAATAACAGACAAAAAAATTTAGTTCTGGCACTGAGTACTGTCATGCTTGATTTTATGCTCTAGAAAATATTTATTTGTTGGGGTTTTGTTTAAGTAGCTTTCTATATAATTTATGAAAGCTGAAATTCCATTCTATGGCATTCTGCAACATTTTTCACCCTACCAGCAAGGAAGACACCTTGAGATCCACCACTCAGATCTCAGCTGTCTAAGCTAATGCAGGAATCAGTAGCAGTAATATTTACCAGCTTTGTGGGTAGACACGGAGTAACAAGTCAGTTGCTTTTTAAGTAGCTTCACAAATATTTGTCAACAGCAGAGGACTGGTAAGGTTTGGGAATCTTTTGAGTCCTTAAAACAGGACTCAACAGGACTCTGTTGGGCTCGCTCTGGCCAGCTGCCACTCCTCTCCATGGTGTTCTAACGTAGTCTGACCTTCCCTGGTTACCAGGCCACCTGCTGCCTCCTGACATTGTTCTTTAGCACCAGCTGCTCATCACCTTGAGAAATCAGAAGCAGACGTGTTAAAGGAAATTCAAGGAGGATCTGCATTGACTGTAGACTTGAGTGCTCATCTCTCTGAAGAAGTCTGAGCACTGCCCTTTAGCAGTGGATATGTGAGGGGATGGAAAAGGCTGCAGTGAAGACAGTCTGGCTATTTTAGCTGCTTAGTAGAACCATGTCACTTCTCAGTATGCACATATCAATAAACTTCAACCCCCAAATCATAACTCACCTCATTCAGGTGTATTTTCATAATAACATCACAAAACATAACAACCCCTGACAAATGGATTTCCCCCAAAATTTTCAAATCTCTTTTTTTAAGTTAAAGAGAACACAAAAACCTTTCAAGAAAACACCAAGAATTTCTTTGATATGAGGCAATAAAACAGTTTCCCATGAAACATGAACTAGCCCCTCAGTATTCTTTACATTAAAAATTTAAAATAATAACTTTTGCTAAATCCTCCTAAGCATTCAGTTTCAAGGATGAAACTGGTGGGATAGTTAGTTATGGCTCATTCATTAGTCACATGGTCTTATTCCCACAGGATGACACACACAACAAAAGCAGCTCTGTGTTCTGATCCCCCTAGTCCTATACCCTCCCTTTCACCAGAAGGGCATGTTGGGCTGGGAGTAAGAAGATTGGGAGTCTGTGAGACAGGAAGGAAGAAGAAACAGCTCAGCCAGATGTGTACCTGCAGGGGATGCTTCTCTGCCATTTTAGCATTTTTAGCCAGGACATGTGGTAGTTTTAAATATTGGGTGTTGGAACAGTATAATGAATTCTATCTACAGAAATAATTAAATAATAATAAATATTGACATAGCTATGAAGTAAATCTCTTACACGCAAGCCATATGTATTAGATTCACGGGTAATCAGGGAGCAGTTCTTATTGTTCTTCCATTTATTCTAGATTTTCACACATTTTTAATTCCTCAGATTCCTCAGTATTATAATAAAGACCTGCACAGAACTTGGTTTCAGAAACTATCTTCATAGCCAATGCCTAAGCTTGTATATATAATTCTGCAAGACTGAGTTAAATAATGATAATGGATTTTTTGCAAGTATAAACCTACTGCAGTGTGAAACTGTGCTCACAGCATTGCAAACAGAAGCTACCAAATGAAATGATCATTTGCTCTTGGCATATAACTAATTGTTCCGTGTTTAATTTGTGAATATTTTTTTTATTTCAGAACAACCATTTTTCTGACTTGCTGGACAAAAAAACTGGTTATAAAACAGTCAATATGTTGGCAACTCCAATTACACAGGGTAAAGAGGTGCTTGCTGTTGTGATGGTACTCAACAAATTAAATGCCCCTGAGTTCTCAAAAGAGGATGAAGAGGTAATAACAATAAATGACACACAATGATATAGCTTTTAGTTCAACTAGTACTTTGAGTGATTCTATCTCTTGGTTTGATACTTTAGTCTTATTTTTGCTCTTTATCATTTTTAGGTATTTAAAAAATACCTCAATTTTGTGTCTTTGGTCATAAGAAATCATCACACATCATATCTCTACAATATTGAATCACGAAAGAGTCAGGTATAGAAGAATTTTTTAATGATAATATTAATTTTTGTGTGAAACCATTATTATTCCTACTATTTTATATTCTTGCAAGCTTACTGAAGTAAAGATACTATCTATTTATTTTTTCATATGATAACAGTAATGCACCTTATAATTTTGTTCTGGAATGCCTAGGATGCATGTATTTATGTTTTTCTACTCTTATGAACATTTAACCCTTTTCTCTTTTGTAAACAGATGCTTTTGTGGTCTGCCAACAAAGTATTTGAAGAGCTAACAGATATAGAACGACAGTTTCACAAAGCACTGTACACTATTCGAATGTATTTGAATTGTGAAAGATACTCCATTGGTCTGCTGGACATGACTAAAGAGAAGGTAACAACTATCTTGCCTCCTTGCTAGAAATGTGCTACTCCTAACTTTAAGTCTCAAAGACACAAAGTTACCGTCCTTTCTAACCCTTTGGGATAATTTATATAGAATTTAACCATGTTACAAAAATTGCATGTGAAATACAAGCATGGCAAAGGATACAACCATGATAAACATAAAGGCTAATTCTGAAATAATTTTTCATATTAATAATTCCATATGAGAAAGGGTAGAAGAGAGAAGTGCAGGTCTGAAATACCTGCCTTCTAAAACAATTAAGCTGCACAAGAGATAAGCTCTCTAGCGATAAGATTCAGATTAGCCTGCAATTTACTGGCAAACATTGCCTGGAATACGATGAACAATGTTTTCTTAATATTGTCTGAAATGTGTGTATAGTAAACTACGAAGAAACAAAAACCAAAATTGCAATCCACAGATGTGATGTTATCCATGAACACAGAACTGATTTGTTTTTTTTCCTTTTGCTAAATGCTGTGTATCATTTTCTCAGGAGTTCTATGATGAGTGGCCAATCCGGCTGGGGGAGGCAGAGCCATACAAAGGCCCCAAGACACCTGATGGACGAGTGAGGATATGAATTTTTCTTTTTATGAATCTTAAGTTTGACATTGAGGTTGTACAGGTCACCTATGTGTTTTTCTCCTTTCATTTAGGAAGTCAACTTTTATAAGATTATTGACTATCTTTTACATGGACAAGAAGAAATCAAAGTCATTCCGTGAGTATTCACTGGCACCCTGCAAAAGTGTCATAATTAGATATATTGCTGGGACAGAATAACATGGCTATATTGTAGAAATAATTTCATTTCACTGTCTCTCTAAAGGTCACCTCCAGCAGATCACTGGTGTCTTATCAGTGGATTGCCAACATATGTTGCTGAAAATGGACTTGTAAGTTGATAACAAAAGTAAAATCTAGAAGTTTTAGTTTATACAGTTGTTCTGATTGAACTAAAAAAAACCAAAAAAAACCCCCAAACCTCCACATGACCAAAATCCTCTCCAAAAATACCACGCTGTTGCACTGTCATTGGTTCCTAGTGAAACCATGTGAATCAGCAGTCTGGATGGAGACAAGGCCTTAGCACAAACAGCCAAAACATCTGGAAAATTTCCCTCTGATTGTGGTGATATCAGAGGAATAATGTGTGCATCTGATGTCACTTTCCAGGTGTGCTAAGTCTCACAGCAAAATGTCAAAGTAAGAAAACCATCACATACAAAGTTTTAAAATTTTCTTTTTTTTTTCTTATATCTTCTTGTGCAGACAATATAAGTAATTCAAAGTCGTGATGTATGATAGCTACTGTAACCCTATGGTATGATTAATAGAGCCCTTAGAACTCAATCATTTTATTCTAGAAACCCCCATGTCATTTTAAACTGGAAATAATTTTCTTAACCCTTATGCTTTTGCACTGTGAGACATCCTACATGAGGGACTTTGCTACAAACACTCCAGAATGATGTCTGACAGAATAACCACATTTAATTAAATAGGAACAGTTTTAATTTCTGTAGCTAACTAGGATGTTTACTGTTCCTAGCTTAGAAAATAAATAATAAATAATAATAATAATGGCCAGTCTTCGCGAGCGAAGATCCGGGGAAGGTCTTTCCACCTTCCAGCCTGCGCATTGGATTTTTTAGGTGAGACACAGTGTGCGCGGAACTGAGCCCACCCTTTAATCCTAAGGTTCATCTGCCGGGGCCAAGTGAGCTTGGACGGTGGCAGCGAGGTCCTTAGGACGTAGGTGGGTTGCCTTTAAGGGCTAACGAGCCCCACCTGCCCGGGAGTGGCCCTGACCGGGAATCGAACCCGGGTCTCGGGGGTGATAGCGCGGCGCCTTTACCACTAGACCACCAGGGGCTCTAGAAAATAAATATGCCTTTTAAAAAATATTAGGCTAAGTCTCAATGCACGTTATATTCCATTTAAACAATGCCTCATTTTCTTTATGCTGCAGATTTGTAACATGATGAATGCGCCAGAAGATGAATACTTCTCATTTCAGGTATTTCCAGTCATTTTAATAATTATATATAGATATAATTAATTATAACTATGTATTTATTATATTATCTTATAGATAGAATATAATTAATTATATAAATATTCTACAATATAGATATTGTAGAAAAGTATGCTAATATTTGCCACTAATTAGTTACACAGTTGATTATATAAATAATTTCTCTGTTGTGATGCATGAGATCTTGTTGTTGCATTGCTTATATCAATAGCCATGTTATCACTGTCAAAGAAACATACATTTACTGGTTTTTGGCTTTCCTACAGAAAGGACCAGTGGATGAGTCCGGATGGGTTGTCAAAAATGTCCTGTCATTGCCTATTGTCAACAAAAAGGAAGAAATTGTGGGAGTTGCAACATTTTACAATAGGAAAGATGGAAAACCTTTTGACGAGTATGATGAACAGATCATTGAAGTAAGCTTAATAGCATTAGAGGGTTTAAGGAGCCATGTAATGTCAATTAAAAATATTATAGTAAAAAGTAATTTTAAATGTCTAAAAATTTCCAAATAGGCTGTATTACCATCAGACAAATGTCTTCCTTCTTCACAATACAATAGTTTCTTAAGAATCAGAGATTTTATTTCCTTTATAAAACCATAAAATTCTGAGTGATCATTTACATCCCAGTAATGAAAAGAAGTCATATAAAATTTTATTTTTAATCCTTTGACTATTTATTCATGGTCACCATGGCTAAGCAGGATGGATGGCATGCTTCTTGCCAATGGATATTGAGCCACAGCGATCATGGGAGTTCACAGGGCATCCATGATCACACGTACTCGGGCAAGATAAGACGCTACACAGTGTATCCAAGTCCACTCACCTGACTTAAGCTTCATAAGCCTCAAAGTCTGGTATATAAAGTAGGAATATGGGACCTTAATTACTAGGCTGAGACAAACAACGTCATTAAAAGCTGTGAGTACTTACAGAACCAGCTGATAGAAGATAAAGGCCTCTAAAAAGTAGAGTGGCACACTGCTTTTCAAAGGGTGCTACCAGAAACTGGACCCTATGAAAAATAAGTTCAAAATGTTCATTTTATTCTCATGGCATCACCTCTGCTTTGTTTGGCTTTGTTCCAGACTCTCACGCAGTTCTTGGGGTGGTCTGTTTTAAATACTGATACTTATGACAAAATGAACAAGCTAGAAAACAGGAAAGACATTGCTCAGGAAATGCTTATGTACCAGACAAAGGCCACTCCTGCTGAAGTTGAATCTATCCTGGTAAGTTTCTGTACACAACCACAGAATTAAAGTGGGAAATTTGCCACACAAAAACTTAATTTTCTTACCCTTTTTCATGTTTAGAAATACAAGGAGAAATTAAACGTAAATAGTTTGGAGGAATGTGATCAAAAGGATCTCATCAGGATTTTGGTAAGTCATTAAACTGAAAATTCTGGTCATGTATTTCTATCTGACAGTAGCGTGTCCTCACTGTAGAAAAAGTTGTGTATAGCCAAATCCTGATTAATACAACTGACATCAGCTATCAGTGCCACAGGCTGGGTGGAGCTGATTTAGTAATACACGCTCAACCTCTACTGTCCCTGTACGTGTAGACCCCACTGTTACCTGTAGAGAAACATTCTGTCCCAAATATACACCAACAGACTTGGATAGTCAAGGTCATATATAGAAGTGTTTATATGAATTAACATTTAAAGTGCATAACTTTTTAAAATATCCATGGAGAAAATGCTATATCTGTAATTGAAATTATTTAATTTTGAAAATAAAAGAAGGGATATTGAAGTGAGGCCACTTTCATTCTCAGTAAGAGTATGTAGGAGTAATGTAGGAGTGTCAGTGGAACAAACCTACTTTCAGATTGATTTTCCTGCATTTCCATAGGCAGAGAAGTTCAAAGACAGTGATCTGTGACTTCACAGTAACAAAACAGATTTGACCTAATCAGTTCTATGGTCTATTACTCTGGTACTACTCAACCAAAAATGAGTAGTTTCTTTTTCAGACTGTGAAGTCCTCTGGTTGCCTTAGTATTTCAACCTAGAAAGGAAGTGTCTTTTTGAAAGAAAACTCCTATTTTTTCCCATTTAGTGCACTTCTTTTCTTGTGCAGCAGTCCTGGAGCACATGCATGGGCCTATTTTATCTGAAAAAACCCTCAAAGATACGCTCCAGGAAAACACTGAATGAACTTCCACTCTTAATAGATCAAAACTGAGCTAGGCTGACGAAAAAAGGTCAAATATACACAAATCTGTTGATTTCCTGTACCAACCACTTCACATATTTCCTCCTATTACACCACATTTGCTGATGTACACAGAGCCATAGGGAAAAGACCTCTTGAAACTATTTTTAGCTATGTACATGTGCATGCTGAATGCATTGGTGTTAATGTTTTACTGGCTTCCACGAAACAGATGCTCAGACAGCTTGCAAGGGGTGAAATAAAAATACATCAACAGACAATGTGTAGCTTCACATACCTGTTAAAGGAAATTTAATTTGGCTGTATGCAAAACTGCAAAAAATTATAGATAAACACTGTAAAATTTCTCTACTGGTAGAGTAAAACCTGAGTATTATGGTAAAGGCTCCAAATGTGAGAACATAATACTGGTATGATTTTTAAATCTCCAAAAAGCAATTAAAGTGGGTTCTCTCAACATTGTGAAGTCACAAATTCAAAGGTCTAATATCATCTGCACTTCCAAGGCTACATGCTTTATCCTATTATAAGACCTGGAGCCCCAGATAGCTAATGGGATAAAGCAGGTGTTTCTAGATCTGATGATTCACAAAGTAATGGGTCTTAAAGCAACATTAGTCTACGTTTCTTTGTCCTTGATCTCTGATCTGCAGAGATATAAAGGAAAAACCCAGGGAGAAGGAAATGGATGTTTAGCCTTATTTGTTGAAATATATGCATACATTCAGTCATCTTTTTTCCTCAGCCAAAAAGTGGAGATCATTTATAGACTGCTATGGAGGAAGGCAGTCAGTGTGATAATATAAGCTATTCTTTGTGTTGCATCAGACTTCCTTAATTCTTTAAAATATTATACTGCTCCTCCTAGGCTTTGGGATTCACAGATGAAGAGTGTTATAGAAGAGTTCACAAGTGGTGCTGGGCTTCTTAACTTTGGTATCTTCTGCATCTTAGAATTTAGCATATGTTTTATGGAGGTTCTTCAGTACAAGCTGGACAAAGCTCTGTGTCTGCCCTTCAGAGAGAGAAAAATCACAGAATGGCAACCAGACAACTTCTAATGAAATTTAGTACATAGGACAAAGGTTATGTACTTACAGAGTCTACTACTTCTGGAATGATCCCTCATTTTCTTCAGAGGTCAGACTGTTTGGAATAGACTGCTGTAAACTACAGAAAGGGAGAATCACCAGCAACTATAGCACTAGAAAGTAAATGACTTGAAGGGATTTAAATAAGCCATAATAACCATACATACTATATGCTTGGTACATTTAAGAATTGTAACAATTTTTGCTTTGTGCATATACTGAGATCATTCAATAGGGAAGCAGTCAAGGATCTACTGTACCAGACAAACAATAATATAAATAAGACTCGTGAGTTTTTTAATCTGATTTTGTAGGCTTTTCCAGTCCAGTTTCTCTGTGTCAAAACAACCTTACAGGTTTGTCTATTAAGTGTATATAGACTAGTACAAAGAGAGACTATCACAAGAGAAAAGGTAGGACAGACCTATTTTGAGAGCTGGATATGGAGCAGAAACAAACAGCTAACACTCCAGAAACCAAAAAACGTACAGGAACCTTTGCTTGCCTATAGCGTCTCCAAGACTAGACAAGGCTATGGATAGGCAGGCATGCAAGGAAAGCCTCTGGCAAAAATAAAATGTTGTTGCTATGCTTTATTCAACCATAACAGTAAAAAATGTAATAGTAAAAAATGTTTTGGTCTAGACAGGTTGGTTTTGGTCACTATATGTTTCACTATTAATAAGATCCAAAAGGGAAGAACACTTAGTGAGAATATTTTTGGTTGTGAAAAATATGAACTGTAGCCTAGGGATCAGGCTAAAAGTGTGAGAATCATTGGATTTTATACCAGGAAGGAGAATTTCCAAGGCCTAAGGTTTCTAAACCAAGGAAATGTTGAGATGGTCATAACAAATTGTGTTGGAATTCATAGCAGGAAGAAATTGCCCAAGGCTTTTATTTATTGTCTTTGAGAAGAAAGCCAGCAGTACCACAATTGTGTTTCATGACTTCATACACATTAGTTTATACTGACACCTGAGGCCTTTGAAGACACAGTAAGCAAACTTTCCTTGAGCAATATTTCTATTGAAGAAAATGAAAAAAAGCTTTTCCAATTTTGTTCTTGCCAGAAAAACCCTTGTTTTTGATTTTTCCTAACAGAAAGAAGAATTACCTGATCCAAAAGATTTAGAACTGTATGAATTTCGCTTCAGTGACTTTCCTGTTACAGAGCATGGCCTGATAACTTGTGGAATACGACTGTTCTTTGAGATAAATGTTGTTGAAAAGTTCAAAGTCCCAGCTGAGGTTTATTTTATTTTTTTCTTGTTTATATTTATTTTTAAATGGCTGATCTTAGTTACTTTAATCTAGAAGTTTAGTTTTAGTAATACTAAAATATTAGCAGTATGGTTAGCAACCTTCCATTTTTAATGAAACATTTACATATTTGCCATAAAATTGTAAAACTAATCTTGAGTTGTGTGAGCTATATAGGGGATTAAATCAACATGCATTTATAGAAGAACAATTTGCTGTTTCAATGTTTAATTCAATGAAAAGCATTTATTTTCAAAGAACTGGCATATTATTACAGTAAACTCATAGTATATTCCAGTAATTTTATAGGAATTCCATTGTTTTGTTTCAATTAACAGCACAGCCTTAATCACTTTTGCTCCTAATAGGTTCTTACAAGATGGATGTACACAGTCAGGAAGGGTTATCGAGATATCACTTACCATAACTGGAGACATGGATTCAATGTGGGACAAACAATGTTTACTCTGCTGATGGTAACGTTGCTAATATTAACCTTACATTAATTATTTAGTTTCCTTTCAATTTCAAATGGAAAATTCAGGAAGACAAACACTTGGAATTATCTGTTTTCTTTTACAGACAGGCAAAATAAAGAAGTACTATACTGATCTAGAAGCCTTTGCCATGGTTGCTGCTGCTTTCTGCCATGACATTGATCACAGAGGGACCAATAACTTGTATCAAATGAAGTAAGTACAAATGCTCAAAAACACGGTAATGTACGACTTTTGGTGCCAAATGAAAAACAAATGTCAAACCTTGCAAAAATATAAGGTATATATTCCATATTCATCTGACATGAATAAATAATTATGCTACAGAAGGTTTCTGTTTCAGAGCACTTCAGACAGCTGAAACACAAAGGCAAAATGCAAAAGCAGAATCTTAGAAGGGTCTCCTGATGCTGCAATTCATTTTTAAGAGACACTAAACTCTAGCAATGTAGCAGACAGAACTTTGTGCACAAGGCCATAAAGAAATGAGAAAGGGCATTTTGACTTTTTCAAGACAAGGGCGCAAGCGCTTCTCTGGAGAGGGATTCAGGATGTGACACAGACAAGGGCCAGTTTAGAGTGAGACAGGATTTTTTCCTCTCTTTTCCACTGCCTAACATGACTAGCTCAGTTGTGCCTTCTCATGCTCAGTTTCCTAAGTGATGTAGGTCCTTTCCTGAGGTGTAACCTCCTCATGTTATACAGGATTCTGAGCAAACAAGCCTGAGTTTACCACTGAGTCCACATGCCCAGAAGTTACCAATCATGAGGTTCAGCTTTGCAGTTCATGCTCCCTCTTGTTCTGAGAAAATATTCTAAAGGATTTCTTTGTGGTTTTTACCTTGTTTGTTAGGAAACAATATGAATTAGCAGATGCTTGTTATAAAACAATATTAATTCATTTTAAATTTACCTTCGTATTACAAAAATACATATCATGGTGAGAATAACCCTTGTTCTGAAGAGTGAACAATCTACCATTTAGTCTCTTCCGTGATCTGTGAGGGCTTGTTTCCAAGTGATAGCTAGAGAACACAGCTTTCTTAAAATGTCATGTGTACCAGAAGATTATACTTTTCTGACTACATTTTCCACCAGCTCCTCCAGAGCGATTGATCCTCCCCCTCTGACCCTGAATACACTCTTCATAGGAGAGGCATTTCAGCCTGTGTGCTACAACAGTGACGCAGGGGGATTTTCTGATTATTCCCAGGGATTCTCCAGGTGACGTAGGAGAATGACAGACATTGATTCTTATTCAGTGGACTGCCTCTCATCCAAACAAGTCTAAGGTGGGGTTTAAATCCTCCTACTGTGGTCTTCCCTAGTGGAAATCCCTCTACGTGAGGTCATACGCAGTAAAGCTATTTATAAAACTCATTAGGCTTTACCACAACAGTCTTAATCACATCAGAAAATACAGGTACAATGTAGCCCACCAGGGGTTATCTGAGGAACACAGATATTAGCTGAGGGAAGAAAGGAGGAAAATACAGTTCTACATATGCAGAACCACCTGGAGCCCTTGTAGGTAGGATACTTCTCCCTTCATCCCATCACCACAGTCTGATGAAGAATTTCCTCTGCTTGAAGCTTAGTCCAATGTCAGGGGAATGCTTTTAGTTTTGTGATAAGACTGAACACACCTAAGCTGTCAGGACTTGCGTGGTCCATAAAACGGTGATTTTGGGGGAGGGGAGAAGCTCAAGGGCATTAGAGGACTTAAACTCCATTATACTGGTATTTCAGATTTAATTTACAGTTAACTAGAATCCCAGGGAACATGACCCAATCATTACAGACACACACGAGTTCAAAAGCCATGCCACAGAATAAACACTAAAGGATTGATAAAAGCTATTTTTAAGGTACACAGGAGTGGTGTAGATGATACAAACAGTGAAACTGAACATGTAAGACAAAATAGAGGCATATATTAAATAACACAGCTTTTGTGTTTTGACGTATCTAACAACACCTTTGACTTTAGTGGGCACTGAATACCCAGTGCTCTCCAATTTCCATCATCATTCATTCACAAAAATGAAGGCAAGTTGGATTTTTTCCTCCGCATCATAACAATGGCTAATGAATACAGATTAAGCTATGGAGCATGGAGATCAGAAGCATCTTAACCATATACATGAAACCTGAATAAAAACTATTGCCTTCATAATAATATAAATAATTGCCTATTTTTCAACAGGTCAGCTGCTCCACTGGCAAAACTTCACGGCTCTTCCATTTTAGAAAGGCATCATCTAGAGTACAGTAAAACCCTGCTGCAAGATGAGGTACGTCACAGACATTCTGCTCACTATGATCAACACAAAAGATCCACGTAGTGTTCCAAATTTCACTGCGTCTCATTCATTCCTCTATGTCCAGATTAGGAAACTATGCTAAAATTCAGAAGTTTAGGCCAAATTCTTACACATTTTCCACTTTTAGAGAAACATCGGTAATTCCATCAGAAACAGACTCACTTCAGATAGAAAAGCTTTTCTTCTGAGCCTTACTCACATGCCCACGGGCCCTTCTCCAGTGGGCATTGACCTTCCTGCCTTCCTCAGCGCCAGGCTCTGGCTGCAGCTAAGGAGACAATTTACACTCTTTCCTATGTATTTTCCACAGAAATAAGGATTTAAAGCAAGCCATGCATGCATGCGCCCCTTCCATCCCTTGTTTACAGCAGCAAGGCAGGCAACCACTTCCACCCTGATTTTCCACCTCTAATTCCTGTGGTGAGGCTGTTGCCTGACCTCATGAGGTCACGGAATATATCCTTATGCTAAGCATTTGTTCACTGAAAATGAACAAAGAAAACATCTTTACCTTTATTGATGTCGATGTACTTTTTCAAATGTGAGATGCTGGGGATCAGCTCCTGCTCTTGGCCAAAGCAGTTGTCAGGACCTCTGGAGGCTCTCACCAGCAGCATTGCTGGTCCCTCTGCTCACACAGCCATTGCCTCTTCTGTTAAAGAAAGAAATAAAGCCAGGACACTCAGAAAACTGCTGAGTGTGATGGTCTCAACCCCTTTGCCTGAGGAAAAGTACATTGCACTTACCATGGCAGGCCCTTAACACCACTGCAGGCAATTGTGCCAGTCCAGGTTAACAGGAGGAAAAGGTCTCTACTAGAAATCTTTAAAAAGTCTAGGACAATTAGATTGATGGAATGTGAATTTTTAATTTGTAGCATTATTTTAAGTTAGGGACTGTAGTTGGCCAATTTTGTTATACTATGCTGTGAGAACCTGTATAGTACAAATCAAAGACAGTGTTATAAAAGGAACTGAATTCATAAACTTTCCACCTTGCAGAGTTTAAACATCTTCCAGAACCTAAACAAGCGCCAGTTTGAAACCGTCCTACACTTATTTGAAGTTGCAATAATAGCAACTGACTTGGCTTTGTATTTCAAGTAAGTACTAAATTCTGTGCAACTCTGTACTGAAGTCAACCTTATAGAATGTATAACTGTAATTTTTAGTTGTTTATATGCAGAATACAAAGATGTTTATATGCAGAACATAGACTTTTACTTAAAATTGTTATGAAGTCTAATTATTGTAAAAACCAAGACATTCTTAAATTCATTATAAGTTTACAAATTAGAGAATACAAAAATGTATACAGTATTTCATATAAATTCAGTAGGTCATTCCAATATGCTTTAGTTACAACAAACACTGTATTCTTGAAGTGTAGATTTGGAAGCCTAATCATAAGGTTGTGTGCATATGTGATATTTAGCATACCATACAGTAAATACACTAAACACAAGTATGCTGAGAATGAATATGCTGGTTTGAAAAAGCCCTATGAACATCAAATGATCCCAGTGCTAAATATGCCAAAGACTCCAACTATCAAATCATCCATTCTGTTCCTAAGTCAGTGACTTAATGTGCTTTTATAATGGTTATTTTCTTTAAAGATATATGGAGTCTTTTGTTTTATGACTAGGACAATTTAAAGTCAGAAGACAGGCAAAAATTCAGTAAGTTGTTTAATAGCAGTTATTAAATAACAGTACTTCCATTTTTTCATTGATTCTAAACAAAAATTAGAAGATTTAAGGAATAGCAAGACACCTTTTATGTTTTTGTAATTTCTTCTTAGTCAGGTCTTAGTAATTCTTTGGATTTTTGATGGGAGGAAGTGAAAAAATATTTATTAGTATTTCCTTCACTTTTCCCAGTTCAGTATGGTACAGAAAGTAATGCACATATAATGCTAAAGAAATAAGAATGCAAACCCCAGTTTAATACGAAGAGGTAGGAAACTGATTATTTGTTTCTGTGTCAGAATTCTGACACATTGTATATCAGCAGTATATAGCAAATTCTAAATGCCTAGGTTACCTGGAAAGTTCGAGTTCAACGGGAGGGTTTCACTTTGATACTACTACGACTAGGATGTTAGTTTGGAAAAGCATAAATACAGTAAATAGGGTTTTCAATTTCATTTTTAATGCAGTAACTTATGTTCTCTAATATATGTTCTATTGGTATGTTTTAACAGGAAAAGAACTATGTTCCAAAAGATCGTGGATGCAATTGAAAAAATGGAAACAGAAGAACAGGCAATTAAGTATATATCTATTGACCCAACAAAAAAAGAAGTCATCATGTAGGTGGTCAATGTTTTACTCTTTATGCAACCAGTTATCTAGAACTAGATTTTGGGCTCCTAAACATGCAAATTAAGACTTGGTGTTATTGTCCAATGACAAGCACAGCCCTGATTTTAACATAGATTTTCTCAAAATGTGCATCCATCTGCATCTTAGATATTGAAATTAATTTTAAATTCCAGACTTTTTTTTTTTTTTAATAATCATCCTAACTATCACAGAATCCCCCTGCCAAGGCAGGGTCACCTAAAGCACGTTACACAAGAACATGTTAAGGTGGGGTTTGAATGTCTCCATAAAGGAAGAATCCATGACTTCCCTGGGCAGCCTGTTCCAGTGCTCTGCCACTCTCAATGTATATTTGTTCTTCCTCGTGTTCAGGTGGAACTTCTCGTGTTTTAGTTTATGGCCATTGCTTCTTGTCCTGTCACTGGGCAGCACTGAAAAGAGCCTGGCACCATCCTCTTGACACCCAAAACTACACTCATTTTTGTTTTTTTTGTTTTCAAAGGGCTATGATGATGACTGGATGTGACCTGTCTGCAATAACCAAGCCTTGGGAAGTGCAGAGTAAGGTAGGTACTTTTGAAATTGACAATACTGCATTTACTCTCTATTTTACTGCCCATCTGGTGTACGATCAGTAAAAAAAAAAATTAATATATTTTGATACATACTTAAGTACCTGTTGCTTTCAGAAAAGAACCTCTACCTTTGTCACTGTGAGTGTAGGTGTTCCATGACATCTCTCCTCAACCTCTCCACAGGCTGCCAACCCTTCTCTACTTGTCCTTCCTCTAAAACTGGCATCCCCAATTATGGCAGCTGTTCTAGCTACCCTTAAATATCACTGAAGTTATTTTTGCGCCATACAACTTTTACTACTTTCCAGCTATTTTTACGGTACAGATTTAACAACGCCATGGTTTGAATTGTGTCTGTTCTGTAGATCTTGGTGCCATTGCTAAGCCATAGCTTAAACATGCTAAAAATAAATTCTGTAATACAGCATGGTACATAAGTACTTCAAGTACTCCAGTAGTTACTGAGCATCCTGCTGAAGCTCATCACTTGGCTTACAGGAAGGAATATGTTTCAACAATGCACAATCAAAATACAGCTGTAAGATGCTTGTGGAGTCTTCTTAACTTCTATATATTACAGTACTAAAGACTGATATGTTGCTAATATTGCCTTGTTTCCACTGACAATAATCTGTCATTTACTCAGCATGCATCAGGGTATTGTTAATTTGCTAGAAAAAGCCTTCAGTACAGCAGAGAGCACTGCTGAAAAAAACTGACAGGTTTTTTTTGCCCCATTTTCTGGAAAGCCTTGTTCTTTTATTTATTTAAATTTACTGCTTTCTGCTGATAATTCCACTGAACTGTGATTATTCAGGTTGCCCTCATGGTTGCAAATGAATTCTGGGAACAGGGTGACCTGGAACGAACTGTGCTCCAGCAACAACCTATTGTAAGTACTAAATAATTTAACTGTGTTAAGCAATATTAACTGTCATTAGAACACATATGATGTTCACTAGATCGTTCTACCAAGAAGCATGATATGTACATATTCTAAATTACTGCTCTTCTGTTCTAGCCTATGATGGACAGAAACAAAGGAGATGAACTACCTAAGCTCCAAGTTGGTTTCATAGATTTTGTGTGTACATTTGTGTACAAGGTAAGAGTGACTGGTTTTTGTTTTCCTACTGCAGCAGTTCTGATGGCACAATTAGTGACAATCTGCTGCAGTTAAAAAATTCTAGACAGCAGCAGGACTCTTGGTCACAGCGTGAACAACCATCACAACTGTCAAAATTTTTCAAAGATTTCAAATTTTCAAAGAATTGCTCCCACAGAGCAAATGCAAGAGATGTGAAGCAAATTCACATAAAGGGAAGATCCCAGTGAAACTTGAGGGTGCTGAGGTTTTGTTATTACCCTGAACGACTGAGTTACAAAGTCCAGCTTGATTCTTCACAGTCCCATTTAATATAAGCAAGCAACAGTGGATGGTTACAGAAAGCAGTTAATGGCACAGCAAAGGGAATAGAAAACTTGAAATACTCTAGACGAGTCGATATTTTGTACCTTCTGTAAGGCACTGAAATGTCAGCATTATTAATCCCTGTCTAGTTTTTTATATTATCCCAAAGAGTCATGCAGAAAAGTGACATGTAATGTTTTAACATCTTGCGATATATCCTCATCTGCTTGAAATATACCACAGGATAATAGACTTTTTAATTGTATCTTGATAACTATACAATAAAATATCATGTATGATATTTATAGTTGTATTATATGAGTCAGACTATCATATGTGGGATTAGGGAAGATACTAAAATGTGCAGTATACAATTCCAGCATTTTCCTAACAGACTATGTGCACAATAGGGTATTATTATCCCAATAGGGTATTTCCAATAATATGCCTTAGAATTACAGAAAAATTACATGCTTTCTCAGCAGTATTTCCACAATTTCAGGTTTTACAACTCATCAGTGCTTTCAAGTTTTTAACTTACTGTTTTAAATTGTTTGTACAGGAATTCTCAAGGTTTCACAAGGAAATTACACCTATGTTTGACGGTCTTCAAAACAACAGGGTTGAATGGAAAACACGAGCTGATGAATATGATGAGAAGATGAAAGCTATTGAGGAACAAAAGAAAAAGGAAGAAGAAGCAGCAGCAGCAGCCCAAAAAGGTTAAGTAACTTCTTAGATTTTCATTTACATATACTTGTAAGGCAGTCAACGTATTCTCTCTCTCTCTCAAATTCACACACGCAGTGCACTTGTGCAATATTCTACTAAACTTCATACTAACGGTATGCAAGTTCTCAATTTGCTAAATTAGCTTTACCTTTACTTGGAAGAGGAGTAAACTTTAAAGGTGACACAAATACAGTATGTTGACCTCAATTTTCTAAACTGCACGATTATATAAAATATGACCATCAAAAAAGTGAAGGGAAAGTAAAATTTCTTTTGCCTAAAGACTTAAAATTGAAACACTTACCTGAAATACCAGAGATGTATTAAAATTCTGTGTGGCACCAGCCCCAAATGTATTCAAGTGCTTTGTTTAAGTTGAAAATGAAAAACATAAGGGAATGGAGGGTGTGCATTTGGGACATAAAAAAGCAGTGCAAATCCCCAATTCTCTTCCAAGTTTAAGATAAAGCTTTGGGCTCTAGTTCCCTACCACCAGTTTCTTGGCTGAGATACATTCTCTCATGTTACAAATTTAACACTAATGTTCCAAACACAGTCCAAGTCCTAAAATTGAAAGCATGGTTCTGCTTATCCTAACCTAGAAGAGAATCTGATTTTATGGAAACTGAGAACCTATCACTCAAGTGTAAGAGCCAAATGAGTCAGTCATTTTTATTCTGTAATGCATGTGGAACAGCAGGTCAATAGGTCTGCCAATCAACTGAGATGATTGAAAAGGTTCAGAGATTAAAACAAAACCATGTGTGATTAAGCCAGAGTGACTGCCAGCTAATTTGAAGAAGAAAAGTTAGTCTGTGTTTCACATTTTTAAAACATAAACCAGTACTGAATAATTTATTTGTTCATCAGTGTCTGCAGGAAATAGGTGAGTATTCTTCACATTTCACACGAAAGAGAGGCTACTCAAGGCCACCCACCACTGTCAGTGTGTGAAGTGGAACCAGAATTATTGTCTCCTAAAAAACTGATACCAGGTTAAAATAAAATTAAAAAAAAAAAAATTGCAAAGTGGTTTAAAAAGTACTGTAAATTACATTATTTAATCAAAGCAGATTTTTTGATAAGTTTAATAAAATGAGTCAAATATTTTGGCCTGCTCATGCTGATACCACTTATGCACACTTTCCCAGAAATTACACCCTCCAAATTGTTTCCCAAATTTATTTTCAATGACACTTTTTTTTCCTTGAACTTACTCATATAGTTTTATTTAAGATTAATTTATTGCTGAGAACCAGTTGGTTGTCAGTATGTAAAAAGTATTCTTTCCCTTACACTGGAATGTAAGCATCTGAACTTCACAGAAATATCAGCAAGACAAAACAAAACAACCTGGGATCTCCTTATTCAACTTCAAACCTCTTTACATATTTGCTTTCTTGGCAAAGAGTATAGTTACTAAAGTCAGAGCCCATGCCCTTAAGCATAAGCTTCTTAAATAAAAATGAAATAATACATTTATGAAGAGTTGGGTATTTCTACTCTCACTTGAAGTTAGGACCATCTTAGAACATTGGTATTTTGGAATCACTTAAGTCACTGACTTAGGAAGAATTTTCCCACAGGGAAAACAGCCAAGCACAGATTGATTTGCAGAAGCCAAGGATCTGGCCTTTGCATAGAATAACTGGCATCCCGAAAAGAAAGGGAATTATTCTGCATCTTTTTAAACACACACTGGAATGAGGCCATGCACATTTGTGAAGAATAGATCTGACACTGTCAAATCAAGGCCAAGTAAATATATGGGTTTGCTAAGTTAGTTCATACAAATAAGAATTTGATACACGCTGAACCATGGTGGTTTCTCTAGATCACACTGACCAGGCTATTCTTAGCCATTCAGTAGACACAAAACAAAATAAACATGTTTGCTGAACCACTACAGTGGAAAGTTCAGAACAGAAAGCAGAACAGAGTATTAAACTGAGAAAATCAAATACATAGTTAGTAACATAGTGTTGATTATATCCACAAATTACAGAGGGTAGGACACTGATTATGTGACATGTTTCAATGCAGGTGGAAAGGGTCGAAAATGACCTAGTAACATGGTGATCCACAGCTTTCGAATGTAAGTTTTAATTCTAATATTGGTATCTTACCTTAAATGAACCTGGAAACGCAATTTATTACATTGAAAGAATCTTAACTATGACCAGTGAACATCTGTGGCATCATTTGAGAGAGATAGTAACAGAATCAGTAGCTACAGATAAAAATATAAAACCCGTCTCTCTCTCTTAACCAGTAACTACAAAAGGGATTCACGCAGGGTTGGATAAAGGTTTATGTAATTAGGTCAAATTAAAGTTTTTGTATCATCTGCTTCAAAAATAGATTCACAGATTATATTGATCCAAGAGTTCCTTTCTTTTGCATGGCTTGCATTCCTCAGTTTTGTATGTGTGGGACAGTCATATATACTTAACTGCTGAAACTTTCCAGTAAGAGTGGTTCAGTGTGTGTTTGGTCCTTTGAGAAATGTTGGTATCAACTCCTACACTATGTGCACATATGTATATATAACGTGTCATTGTTTCATATTTCTATTTCCCAGACAAGCAGTGAAATTTCAGAAGGTCAAACACACATAATATGCATAAAACAAAAGCAACACCTCTATAACAAGAAATTAAAGCAGCTAAAATTAACAGAAAATACTCACTTTACTTTTCTTATCTGTTTTTTAGCAGAAAATCCAGCATCTGAAGAACCAAAATCCAAAACATGTGTAGTTTTGTAATTCTTTGTCTCAGACACTGTTCCTGCTACAGAAAAGACATCTAGAAAGAACTTCAATGAACCGCAGTGGATTTCTGCTTTGCATAGAATAGTATATAGATTGATCTCTTAACAATCCTCTTAAAACATTTGCCATTTGTTGGAAATAATTTTTAATGAAGTAAAAAAATGGTTACAATTAAAAACTGAAAATAATAACAGTGTGAACTGTGCGCTCTAGGTATTTTTCCATGTCACTCAATTTACATAAAGTATTTTTATTAAAATAGGTCATTCTGCACACTGTCCAGAAAAAATACAATTTTTGGCAGATCTATGCAATTATGGAAAGAAATCTCATGTGTACAATTCAAACAAAAAATTCAACTTTTGCTACTTGTATATTTAGATTTTTATATTAGGTGTCTTTCCTTAATCTGGAATTCCATCTTTTTCCTTCATTCCCAATACCATATAAAGTTCTAGAGTAAATATCTCCTTCACTTTAGGAATGCTCAACACAATTCCCTGGCTCTATTTATAAAAAGCAGTGTGATTTTTCAAAAACAGTGTTTTTTCAAAATTACCGAGGATAAATCTGTAAATTGTAGCCATCACTCAGAGAAACCACTCTTGATTGTATGCAAATGGCTCTTCCACAGTTCCTCAACTTGCCACCTTTTATTGTAAAAATCTAAAATAGTAGACCATAAACATACTTTACATACACGTGAGAGTTTACTAAGATACCAGCATGTCCACAATAGGGTCTACATCCGAAAGCATTTTAAAAGGCTCTCATACTCCCAATGTACCCTTTGAAAAATGCAATAGATTAAAAGCATTTGAAAACCAATTAGTTGGCAACAATTTAATAATGAAAAGGGAAAGCAAAACAGAGGTAGAGCACATTAGAATTCACATTACCTCTCTCTCTGCTACCAAGACACAGACTTCACACAAATTAGCTCCTCACAAACAATGAAGAGCTACCAAAACTTGTTTTTGGACAATGACAGTCCACTCCATACATTCTACTCAGGTCTCACAAAGTCAGCTCCTCCTGCAGATGCAGGAGGGGAAATGGCTGGTATATTACGCACAGATCTGAGTATTCACTGCAACTGGTTCCAAATCTAAGGAGATGGATGTCAAATGCAATCCCTGCAATAAGCAAATTCAACATGCAGACTCAATCCTGCCACTTTTTATCCCATTAAATGAAGAAGACCCATAATTTTTTTCCCCTCTGAAGGGCCATCAGTATTCACAGAGAAGGGAGAATGAGTGAATTGCTCTATATAAACCTTTCTAAGAATGCTCTATAAACAGAGATACTATGTACAGTTATCACTCAAAATTAAAGGAATACACAAAACACTCCAAACACTTAAAACATCCTGACTTATAAATGAGCCAAATATTTTATGCAAACAGTTATGACATAAAACTGGGTATCATGTGTTATTTTCTGTATTAAATGCAGCTACTAAAGAAAACTATTTCAAGGTTGTTTGATAATGAAATTTTATTCAAACTGTATTAAATTATGTATTTACTATGTATACTGTAAATTTTTATAACTGTATTTTAAAGACCCAAAGAGGAGTTAGTTATCCAGAACACATACTTAATATACAATACTTGAAGCAACAAATATAGCAATGCATTTGACCAAAGCCCCTTTGGGCAAGTTGCACACGTGTAAGCAGATTGCTGCAGATTGGATTTGACTCTCAACCAAGCTTGCAAGATGACAGAGAATTAACCTTTAAATCCACCTTCTTACCTAAAGAAGCCTTCATGCAAGGCTACGTTTATTTCTTACTCAAGGACACCCTAAATATGTCCTTGTACTGTCAACTATTATGTAAGTACAAACTGTTTAAAGTGTAATTTTGTTAAGTAATACTTGTAAATAGAGTTCTCAACTTATTCATATGAGTGCATGTAAAATGTTCATAAATACACTGCAACCATCTCTGCTGTTCCATTTTCCACATCAAATACTTACTATAAATACTTTCTATACATATATCTACAGTGAGAAGTACTTATCAAAAGATATATTTTATACACAGTAGCTTTCCTCAGAATAACATGAAAATTTAATTTAAAAAAGTTTGTTTTTCATAGTCAAAGTAATTTTCACCTGATAGAAAAAAATACCCACCGTACTTATTCATGTGCAGACTGTTTCTTGTGAAACAGAACCAAATCAATCTTTAAAGATATGTTGCACTTTGAAGAGGTAGAAGAATCCAGTAAGTACCTCAAGCAATATACATGCTTTACTTGTATATTTAGGATTACAGTTTAAAGAAGGATTAACATTCAATTAATGGAAAGGAGATCAGAAGCCACAGATAACATAAAAGTCACATGTACATCTCTGGTAGAAAGCCACACACATATGTTTTACATCAAAAATTTCACCAACCAAACAAATTTTTATAAACAGAACTATAAGACACATCATATTTTAGCTAAAATTTAAAACAAGGTCCCAAAAAAATGAACTTTAAAGGATTATGGGAGACATTTCACAAACAATTTACTTAATTCAAGCAGAGTACATATTGGATAAAATCTGAACTTCTCCAATAGCACTTGAAAATACTTACATAGACTAATACCTGAATATTAAAGTCTACATGACCAATAAATTTAAGGCCATTAACTCTTGTTAAATAAATTAAAAATACAAACATATTAAAGTGTATGGCTTTAAACTACTCACAAAAACTTATAAATGCTCCTTTATAAAAATCTGACAATAACTGAAGTTTGGGATACAATAAAAAGCAGTGAAGTTCTGTGATGTAATGTCAATAAACCATATTCTTGTTTGTTTAAGTCTGGGCGCCATATATCTTTTGCACTGAAAAAGTTATTTCTCTTGTTTCACGAGTACACAGCCTAACACATGATATAAAGGTTTTAGATTTGAAGCCTTCCACAGAGATCATCTACCCAAATGGTTCATATGAGTGAATGCAGAAAAAGTATACTGGCAGAAAGAGGTCTCTGATAAATTATGACTAGATTTCCAGACTTCCATCTTGACAATTCATGAAGACAGTCAGCCTACATCAATTTCAAGGTTTAGAGAAATAAGTCTTGAAAATACTCATCAAACTCCTCCTCCCTGTAAGAACAACAACAACAAAAATGTCAAAGACAGTTCTGCTTTGGATCTTTACCTAGGACACAACCTTTGTATGAAAAATATTTAGCAAACTTCTTCGTATATATAATTTTGAATTATTCCAATGCACTTCACAATTTTTCAACTGACTGAGTTGACTGCTAGGATTTACTTCTAAAATAATTAACGTTATAGTAGGAGGTAAGACAGCAGTGGTATCAGTGGCTTGAGAAAGGTTTTCCTCCAGAGTTGTGTATGACTCCTCTTTAAAAACACATTCTTAGGTTAGCATGGAAAAAGATTTGACATAACTTTAAATGTCAGACTATTCATTGAGACACTCAGGAAAAATCTCTGCCTTTGCAGTTCTGAATGGACACTGTACATTTTATCAGCTACAAGTTCACAGGATCAAACTAACCGTGATTTTTCATCTGCACTTTGTAGGGGACCTTTCCAAATGTCAGCATCTGAAGGACCATCTTCTGCATCACTGTTATCAGAATCTGTTAAAAAATTTTAAGTGTTTATGAAATAAATTTTAAAATAATTCATCCTTTTTTTTTTTACTTAGATGGTACATTACTAGGAGCAATGTTTAATTGCAATCATGAGAATAAACACAAGACTTTACCTTGCATAAAGTGCAAATAACAATGTAGCATCAATAAGATTTTTAGATACCATGAACTAATGTTTTGGCCAAACATAACGATCGTGTGAAAACACTGCTCTTGACACAACAGCAGCACAGCATTTTGTTCCTAAAATTAAGCAATCACAAACCCAGAATTACAATACAGTTTCAATTAATGACATTAAATGGATCAATTACCTTACTTCTACTTAAATGATTATTTCTATCCATTGTGACTTACCAGTGAAATTGTCAGAAAACATGGATTACTGCACAACTGTTTTGTGTAAGTATACAGGAGTGAAAACTCATATCAGAAATACGCACTGACCTAGAAAAACCAATCTTCCAATAAAGTTTTCCTGGCAAAACAGAAACTTTGGGCATGGTCCAAGTCATAAGAAAACTGCTTCAGGTCTTCCTGTATCTAACTGGGAAAACCTGGATCTTCAAGACATGCTTAAAAACGTAGAGCAAAGCAGAGCAATCAGTAGAAACACTCAATCCCTTCCACACAGTCTGCAGCAAGAATTGGCATGACCAGAAGATGGGGCTTGTTTCATCAAAAAGAAACTGGAGACTGGAATTACTGAGCTACAGAGACAACCAGTGCCTAAAGAGTTACTGAGGCTGAGTGCTTGTGCAACAAGTACGTCTCTGAGGTACTACTGGTGGAAGCTGGAAAAAGCTTTATTAAAGCCTAGGATTTATTTTAAATCTTTATTTTTTTTGAGCAGAGTCAGTATATCAGTATAATTCTGTGAAGGAAAATGTAGTAGTTATTATATCAGAAAAGTACTTTCCTTACACAGCACATATTTGTATACCTCGACCCATGCAATTAATAATGTACCTATTTTTGCACCCTCTACTCTTTTCTGGAACAGTCTGACCTCTCATTTTTCTGATTATTTCCATTCTATTATCTGCCCACATTTTCATTCTTTGCTTAAACAATTTCCTTCTTAAAATTCCCTACAGTTTTTCTCCAAGATATGTAAGTAATTCACTTGAACCTTCATATTTGTTTGCACACAGCATTTTTATTTTATAAAATATTAAAAGAGACAACTAATAACACTAAGATCAATGACAAATGTCTATGAAATAATACAACATATTACAAAAACATAAGAGATGTTAAAATACTTTACCTTTATCAGAACTATCTGAATCTTCTGAAGAAACCTGATCTGCAAAGAAGCACCAAAATAGAAAAAAAAAAGTGAGCTTACCTTGGTTATCTGTTATCTGAAATTGTTCACAAGGATATTTCTATCACAATGTATTACACACAAGCATGTGCCACATGCATGCACACACCACACTCAAAGCAAGCAAGAAACACTGAATAGAAGGATTTTTTTTTTTTTTCATGAGTGCAAAGGTCTCAGTTTTAGTTCATTTATGTTATCACAAGATCTGTGGTGTAAAAAGGTTATCTAACATTTCCAAAAGGCTTTCAACCCCAAAGCTTCATGGAATGAAATACTTCACAACCCTTTCTGGTATGCAATGTCCAATTCTTGGACAAATTTTCCTTGTAATGCATATTTTTCAAAAGGCTCTACCTCTCTGCTACATATAAGAAATTTCTCTCTTTTTTGCATCTAGGAAATTTTACCTCAGAAATTAGTCTTTCTGACTACCTGTGTTAGAATCAATAAAGTTACATATCTCTACGTATAACTAAATGTATTTATCTATACATAATTATACATCTATATCTACACAGCTATAGCAGAACTAAGGTTCAACTAACACATTATCATATT